TATGAGGAACTATAATTCCATTAATCAATATTATATAATAATTTTGTGCCAAATAGCAGACCCTATCTTGCTTGGGATTGAGGTATAGTTATTTTTGTGCTAAATATTAAAAAATACACAAGCCTCATTCTCCAAAAAGCTAATGAAGAGAAATGGAACTTCCCCAAAAATGCTATTGAAGCCAAAGATATCTTTTCTGCAAGAAGTGATACTTTAAGCTATCCTGTAAAACCTGTGGGGCTCATAAAAATATTACTGGTAGAATATGATGATCATATGGTCACCCATTAACACTTGTTGCAATTACAAGATGATTGATCTATACAAAGCTATTAACGTTCTGTTCAAACTACTGTTCTTAGATGTTTGCCACTCTTTTGGATTAGGAGGAGCATTCTTATCCCAATGAGCAGGATATGCATAGGGTTAGATATTATTATTATTATCCTATCCTAGAGCTCTCAAAGCACATTGAGTCATCGACCAAGTAGCTAAACAGCACACATTTTTGCCTGCTTGCAGTTTGGACTTCAGTGCTTCAGATATTTGAGAAGAAGCTAGTTGGTTGAAAAAATTCTCACAAATGGGGTAGATTGGCATTGATTAATTAGTAGCAGTGTAGCACACGCCGAAGCTTGCCAACGTATTACATTCCAAATGTAGACCATAAGATATTCGTGGAAAAGATGTATCTTTCAGTTGCTAGTTTACTTTGTTAATTGTCACCAGATAGAGGCTTTACATCTTTTACAGTTGGTTTTAGTTTCCAATTACCAGAATATTTATTGTCACCAGAATACTAAAACTTGAGCCTAATACCATGCAAAGAATATGCATATTCAATCCAAAACAGTAAGGCAATGGGTTAACTTTCACTCCATAATTAACGTTCAAGAAACCCTAAACAATGAGGGACAAGTGTATGCTCTTAAGGGAGTGATAATTAGACAGCTGTGGACTTGAAGAAGAAAGAGAATCATGTGGCCGGTGCTTTATGGGCAGAGAGATAGGGGTGGAAACGATCATTTTGTCATGCAACGCATAAGTTTGTGACGAAGTTATGGAACCTGCTGCTAAATCGCTTTGGTACTGGTGCTTACAGAGAAGGGGAACAAGAAGGAAAAGAACATGGAAGTGACTCCCCAGGGAGTTATGTGGACCACATGGAGAAAATGGAACTGAAAACGTTTGGAAGTAAATAGATCGCTTTGGAAATGCAACTGGTTGTGTATTTTTTTGTACATTGCTGAACTCATGATTCCCAACATGTATTGATGATTGGATTACTTTTATAAAAATAAACTTACTTTAGATAGTTATCCTTTTACCTATTCTTTACATAGTCTTTCCCTTTTTGTTAATACAATTCCTTCACTTATCAAAAAATAAAAACATTTTTTCTTCCCGGTCCTATCCTGTCCCATGCTTGTGGTTGAGGCATAGAAGTAGTAGTTATTGTTTCTTGATCCAAGTATTCAAAGACTGCCAACATTTCCAAGCAAAGCATTACGCAAACAGGTTTTAACTATTAATGGTCACCATACACAACGATGAATAATAAAACTTCTAGCAGAAGTGATAGACCAAGACAGTTAATGAAAATGTCAAATTATACCTATCTCACGCTCTGGAATTGAAACACGTTTCTTGGATAATAAATCCGAGGGAAATGAACCATCACTGGAATCAGGTGTCAGCAAGGAAGTTGAATATCTTCGACACGCGAGGAACAATGATTCATCCTGCATTGAGAAATTCGAAACAGGCTTAAAATACTCATATCAAACTTGTCTTTCTTCAATGCTGGTAAGCTTAAGTAGCACCTCCAAGTTAAGAGAACCTCATGTAATAGTGCCTAATGTACATAAAAAGATACTACTCTAAACTCTAAAGGATATCAGATTATCAATAGACAACATCTCACTGCAAATAAACGCAAAATATTAGGGAAAACAGAATTCTCAGCGATAAGAATTTACCTTTCTGAAGACCGAAGATTCCACCCAAGACACTCCATCCCCAAGAATATTAGCCTTCACTGTTTCACAAAATTATAAAATAAAACAAAAAATATAAATAAATAACCATGCATCTATAGAAGACAGGCTCATCCAATTTTTAACCAGAGGATTCTGCACAAACTATACGTACATATATAACAACAACATACAATGTCTAGGGAGGGTAAAGTGTACACAAACCTTCCTCCTCCCTTGAGAGGCAGAGAGGTGTTTCTGATAGACCCTCGGCTCAAGGAAAAGCAGATAAAAAAGAATTAACGAAAGTAGAGAATACAATAGAAAGCATGACAAAAAGCATTCGGAAAAAAAGAAAAGAATAAGTAGCATAGACTACAAGTGCGAATTTCCAGATAAACGAAGTCATAGGCACGTAGGTTCAGAGCTAGACCGACTACTCCAAGAGCACTCATTACAGGTACAAATAACATAAGGAAGTGTAACCAGCGTTTATTGGAAAAAGCAACCCCAAAGATTTGGGACCCAAAAGCGGTTAGCGGTGACCACTGAATAAGTTTCTTCAGCTTGAGTTGGGTTAAAAACACGGAATGCATTTGCACCATCACCGTCTTCAAATAAAGTATTTTCTAGGGTAGCACCATGAATGGCGCATAGCAAAGCAGCCCCCAATACACCGACAACTCCCATCATATGAAAGGGGTTAAAGGTCCAATTATGAAATCCTTGAAAAATAGGATGAACCGAAATATAGTTGCTACACCAAGACTAGGTGCAAAGAACCAACCAGACTGACCTAGTGGATAAATCAGAAATACAGAAACAAAAACAGCAATCGGAGATAGTGTGATAATCGAAGTACAAGATATAGTTAACAGTAACAGAAATGGAAGGACAAGAAACTACAACAAAATACTACAACTACCTGTATGAAAAGACAAGCAAGACAATTCTCTACTAACTTCTAACCTTCTACCCTAACATGTGTTCTCCACAACCTCCTATCTAAGGTTATGTCCTCAGTAAGCTGCAACATGGATTAAACTTGAAAATGCATGTCTTTTTTATTAAACTAGCCTCCATTCACAAAAACATATACATCTATATCATTACATGGATCTAGGATCCACCTGAAGATTGAATTTACAATAAAGATTTGATTTTTTCAATAGAATCATGAAAAAACAGAAATAATCGAGAAAAAGGGATACCATTAGAAGCAGAAAGTGGTCGAAGTGAGTTCAAAGAAGTAAAAGAACGCAAAATCCTCCTTGAAATGGACAAAGCCATGCTCCAAAATCCTTCAGATTATATGAATGTGAACAGATTCAGCACAACAGGAAACTAATTCATAAGCTCCACCAGAAGAGAGAATGAAATTGAGCTACTCCAATGGAAGGGAAAGTAGTAGTGTTAAACCTGCTAAAACCCTAGGGTCCCATTTGGGAATTTTGTGAAAAAACAATGCAATATTTATTTATTTTTTTGGTCCAATGATCAAATATTATATTTTACCTCAAATTAATGAATTCATTTACATTTTAATATTGTTTTAGCAATTTAAAGACTAAGCTTATCATTGTTTGTAGAAGGATGCACCATAGATAAAAGAAAATGATTAATTTATTTTATTAGTTGAGAATAACTTAATAAATTATTTTTGTGTTTATTGTTTTGTTAATGAATGTGGAATGAGTTAAAGTTAGGTTGGGTCATTTGAATTAGATTATGAAAACTTTGATAGTTTGATTGAAGAAATTATAATCCAATCCAGACACAGGTTCGATTCCAACAATGGATAGATACTCATTTTCGACTATTTTCAATTAGTGTTCATTGATAAGTAGCGATCGCTCGTTATCTAGCTAGAAAAAATGGTTCAAATGCTTTCTCTCTCCCAACAAGCAAGATGAGTTCACCACTTCCTCTCAGTAATGAACTTCCTATACTACGAATAACCTCAAATTGGTTTTAAATATTTTAAGTTCAATTTTGGATATATATTAATTTTTGTACCTTTTAAGACAAATCATGATAATTAACAACCTCAAATCACCTAATAGTTCGCTCCTTAGAATATACTCTCTCCGTCCCATTTTATATGACATCCCTTTCTATAAATAGCTGGACCATAATACTTGTCATTTTATAAAATTTATGCATAAATTACCATATTTTGCCTATTATACCCTTGATAGAATAGTTAATTAATCTTGAAAATGTATTTATCATTTATTATAAAATTGACTTAAGAAAACATTAAATAAGGGTAAAAGAGTAAAGTTACATCATTTCTTAATGCAAATGCAAAACAAAAAAGTGACATATAAAATGGGACGGAGGGAGTACAACTTTCTACTGTTAATAAAAACTAAGAACATACCCTGCGTGGTAAACTAATATATTGAACATTTGAAAATTGAACTTGCTAGAATTGGATACATATGATATGAATTGGGCTAAATATACGACATAAAAAGTTCAATCCCATAATTAATTATTGAATATGATATCCATTCTAATATTCATAAATATATTAAATATATAAAATTCAAAGAAAATACCATAAGTAGAGTACATAATATGCTTTCATACAAGGTTTTTTTTTATTTTATGATACTTTTGGCGTAGTATTAAAACAAAGATAATCTTAAAACACATTACCACAGGATCTGTGACTTCCCAAATAGACTAAAGGGAAAACACACAATTAGGTTGGTTCCAAATTCACTAACCTACTGGATAAAAACGAGCTAGAAGAAAACTGTGGGTTCAACAGCCATAGCCAAACAAGCCACAACTATAAGCGTAAACCAGTCTCAAAATTCATCATCGAAGACGAACAGATGCAGACAATAAGCAAATTTTCAAGACTGCACTAGATCAACCTCACTTCAGAGAGACGGGGGTTTAACGGTAGCGACCTCATGCCAGTGTAGGCACTTAGCTGCTTTACTGAGAACACAAGTCTCATAAAGGCACAGCTAAACGAAACAACATTCACAAACATGCAAAGAGGAGGGATGAAGCAACACAGCAAAGTATTAAAAACTCAGGACCACATAACATAAAACATAATCTTAAGAATCCAAAAAAAAAATTCATATCCAAGATAAAACATCCTGAGATAGCAAAACCCTAGCAGTTTTTCAAAACTCATCCCTGCAAAATCTGTTTTATCCTCACTACAGAGGAGATCATCCATCAAAAAACGCCGCATTCAGCATTCACTTGGACAAGCTTGACTTCACTAAGAAACAAGGTTGTCATTGAGGGAAAGCGAGGCAAGTTGGTCAGCCGGGCTGCTGGTTGCCTGTTGAACATTCCTCAGGACATCCATAGCCTCAGAAACTTTAGCCTTCAAAGCCTCCGGTGATTCAAGCAGATGCAAAACCTCGGTCTGGTCCATTTCAAGAAGCATGCCCGTAACCTTCGCAGCATGCTCGTGCTCTAGCTGATCAACAAGTGGGTACAAACTTTCACCCAACATCTGCCAAGAGAACAATGAGAGCATTAGCAACCTAGTTCGGTCAACAAGAGATTCCTGTAATGTCAAAAGAACTCACCGTCCTCTGCTGCTCAGGTGGTGCATTTGCAAGGGCAGTAGCCAATGTAGAAATTGGCACAGGCTGTCCCATAGCAGCATCACGAGGAAGCATACCACCCATATCATATGGAACAGAGAGCATACCACCAGCAACGCCTGGCATTGGCCCATCTGGCACATTACGTCCAGGTGGATAGCGGTACATTCTTCCTCTTGGCATCATCTGAAAGATAGAATCTTTCATCATTAGTTTACTAGTCTTTTAACAAAACAAAAAAATACAGCTGGATACCCAAAAAGATTGTAGAGAGTAAGCAGAACTCCACCTGCTGCTGCATCAAGGGCATAGGCTGTTGAGATTGTTGCACAGGCCCTGCTCCTCGTCGACCACCTGGGCGCTGGCCCTGTTGGCCTTGTTGAACCATTGGCATGAAGAAGTTTGGCATAGGAGCTCCTCCAGGGCGCATTCCAGGAACAAGCTGTTGTTGATAGCCAAACCCAGCCTGGAAAACAAGATTATGCATCAGCACTAAACCCGTTTATATACATCTGGTGCAATCTTTCCAACATCATGTGTAGCCATTTATAAATTAAACATGAATTAGCCCAACCATATAGTATCAAGAGCATGTGCAAAATACTGAAGATCTAAATAAATAGACAACTATGGATAAGAACTAACAAAGTTACCTGGGGAGGAATAAGAGCGGGGGGACCTTGCCCATAAAATAGTTGCTGTCCAATCCCAGGAGCACCAGGAGGGTAAATTGGCATGCGAGGAGCAAGTGATGGGGGCATTGCCACTGGTCGCAGTTGTGAAAATTGTGCCTGTACCAACAAGTGCATTCATCAATATATATTACTAGGTAACTATTTGAGCAGATCAAAACTTATCAGCAACAGACTCATGGCGTCAAGGCCACATTTAAACATACATTAGTCAAGACCCACTCTATGGACAAAGTATTCGGTGGTCCACTTAACAAGTAAAGCAGCATGATGCAAAATTCCTCCAGCGCTGCCACACTATTGGGATAGTAATTATTACCTGCAACTTTGCTCTTCTCTCCTCTTTCCGCTGTGCTAGTGCAACATAGAGTGGTTTGCTAACTATCATTTTGCCGTTCATCTCAGAAAGCTTAAAGAAAGAAGAAAAAATGAGTTACAAGTTACGACTTAATGAGCACAATGTAACAATAGAGTTGGCATATAAATTATACTTACAGCTCTGGAAGCTTCTTCAGGAGTAGAGAAGGCAACAAATCCAGAACCCCTGCTGATTCCACTTGGATCACGCATAACCTGAACGAACAAGAATAGAATATCTAAGCTTAAATGAATCAATACAGCCACCTAAAAGTTCATTCACAAGAAATAGTATACCTTGCATGAGGTAATTGTACCAAACTCTGCAAAAAGTTCCTTGAGCTTTTCATCATCAATGGTGTCATCCAAATTTTTTACATACAAATTAACACCTTGGTATTTATCAACAGCCTCCTTGGCAGTTTGCTCGAACTTGTTTTTCAATTCTTGCTCTCTTTCAGATTTTTTCTGTGCTTTCCCAACATACCACTCTTTTTCATCAAATTTCTTTCCATTTAATGCTTCAACAGCCTTAGCAGCATCATCTGCATCCTCAAAATTGACAAACCCAAAGCCCTTGGATTTACCATCTGCATCCCTCATCACTACTGCACTAGTAATACTTCCGAACTCACCAAAAACATTCTTCAACTCATCATCAGTAGCAGATTCAGCCAAATTTTTCACATAGACATTGTTAAATTTTATCATGCCAGTTGTAGATTCTCGTTCCTGTTTGCGAAGAAAGTGTCCAACATACACTTGCTTATCATTCATCAACATACCATTTAACTTATCTATGGCACCTTGAGCTGATTCTTCATTGTCATATTGTACAAAACCATAACCCTTTGACTGACCATTAGAATCAGTAGCTATCTTGCAAGAAAGAATGTTGCCAAAGCTTGAAAAGGTGTCATGTAAAGCTTTGTTGTCAATTGACTTGTCCAAATTCTGTGTAAATAATTCAAACAAATGCATTAGGATAAAAAATATACATAGATAACCAGTACCAATACATATTGCAGGTCCCTAAAAATAAAAATATGTGTGTCACCAACTAGAACTTTTTAAAGATGGAGGAAAACTGGATTAACCAGATGTGAGCATATTTATTTGGTGCCATGCTATAGATCCAATTATATACATGACACAATAACTCTTATACTTAAGACGACAACAAGAACTCAACAGATGTCTCACAATAGACAAGTGTCCAGTATATATGTCTATGACTAAAAATATGAAGGAACAAGAGAAGCTCTGAAATGACAAATCACATCATACAAAATCAGGGTTTCAATAATAATACCTTAATAAATATATTTGCTGATCCACTCTTACGAAGAGTGGGATCCCTATGAGAATACATCACCCTAATGGACTTCCCATTGACAGGAGTGAAGTTCAACAACTCCATTGCCCTTGCAGCTGTGACCAAATATTTAGAGCAAAAACAAGTCAGAAAACAATTTGCAAGGCAGGTGATAAAAAATATAGACATACTACATCATTCCAAGTTAAACAGAATATTGAGCATTATCCATTCAATCAAATATGTAATGAAACGTTAGTTGGACACAAAAGGGAGTTGAATTACGCATGCAACACCTTCATGAAGACTTGAACTTCCCAACACGCCCTCATCATAACCAATAAAATATACTCAAGATTAACAATATACACTGGCAAAAACCACACAAGCTGAACCTTTTCTGTTCAAACCAATTATTTAGGCAGAATAAGCCAAATGCACATAAGAAATCACACTACTGCTAGGGGTGTCAAATCTCATAATGTGTTAAATAAGGGAAAAGAACAAATTTTTTCCAAAATTAGTAATTTCACAAAATATGAGGCATTAATTTTAATTATACCTATGATATCAAAAAACCCAAATTCATCAAAAATAAAGACTGTTAAACATGCAATCACACTAAAAAAGATACCAAAATCCCAAATTCATTAAAAACAAAGACTGAAAAACATGCAATCACACTATTATAGGTAACAAAATCGCAAATTCATCAAAAATAAAGACTGTTAAGCATGCAATCTCACTACTAAAGATACCAAAATCCTACATTCATCAAAATAAAGACTGTTAAACATACAATCACACAACTATAGATACCAAAATCCCAAATTCATCAAAAATAAAGACTGTTACTACTCAAGATACCAAAATCTCAAATTCATCAAAGCTAAAGACTGTTAAACATACAATCACACAACAAAAGATACCAAAATCCCAAATTCATCAAAAACAAAAGACTGTTAAACATGCAATCACACTACTAAAGAAATCAAAATCCCAAATTTATGAAATAAAAACTACTAACCATCGGATGGGTTACTGTAGTTAACATAGCCATATCCAAGAGATCTCCGAGTACTAAGATCCCTACAAACCCTAACAGAAACAACCTGACCCACATGGTTGAACAGATCATACAGCTGTGAATCAGTGATGTTAAAGTCCAAGTCTCCAACATACAACGACGTGGACGTGAACTGATTCGACACTCCTCCACCGGGCGCCGCTACAGCAGCGGCAGCACCGGCGGCAGC